TCGTAAGGGGCTTAGCGTATAGTAAAACTTGACTAATAACTGAATAAAGAGAATCGACCAAGAGGTCACCTTAAAAAAAAAAAAAAAAAAAAAAATTATTAGAGCATAAATAAAAATAAAATACAAATCTTGTACAAACTAGGGGTGGTAAAAGTAATTAAATGAGAGTAAAAAAAAACAATTCTTTATAACAAAACTGAAACAAAATACACATATTATAAACTTTTAAAACTAAGTTTTTGTTAATAAAGAACAATTTATTAAACTCAAATAAGTAAAAAAAATCAATACTATATTATATGTGGCTATTTGATATGCTTTAAGGTTTTTTCAAATTATTAAACTGCCAAAATATACCTTTGTATAGTAATTTATAGTAGTTTTATTTATATGTATTAGCAGGTCTTATAGCAAAGATTTTTTTAAATTAGGCTGTTTGAAATTAAAATTTCATTTAACATTCTTCCCCCATCACCTTCAAGAGCTTATTTCTGAAATTAAATAGCCAATCAGAATATTTGTTAAATTTTTAAGATTTCATTAAATCACGTGATTATAAACTAACCAATAATAATAGAGATTTTTTTGAGGTGTTATATAATATTTGTTTAATTTAACCTCCTCCTCCCACTGCACTTAAGCTTTAAAAAGAATGTTAAATAAAATTATAACTTCAAACAGCCTTAGTATAAGTAAAATAAGATACAAAATTATTAAAATCTATAAGTGAAATAATAATAATTATATTTAATATATCAAATTGAAAAACCAATTCTATTAATATCAATCTATTTTTTATTGCTACTCAATCAAAAGAAAGTTCAAATAATAATATTGATAATAAATCTTCTACTTCTGAAGAAAGTGAAAATAATGACTATTAGTTTAAAGCTCCACGTTTAGCTAAAGAATCATTAAACTAAAATCTAAATTGGTCTAAAATGTACCTATGAGTTTATCATAAAGAAGGATCATTAAGCAGACTTATGTTTTGTTGTTGGTATAAAAAAGCTGGCAAAAATAATAACTTTACTAAAGGTTGTGAATACTTTAAAAAAATAGTATTTAGATTAGTATATTAATATTAATGACTATCAGATGGTTTGTGTTGCTCGAACACAATCTCAAGTTACTTTACAATTTAGCTTTGCTATTTAAACTAGAACTGATTAAATTAAAGTTATAAGAAATATGTGCAATATATATTTTTTAATTCAACATAACTTGTCTACTAATATATTTGAAAGTTTGTATAAATTGTCTGAAATTTAACATGCTAAAGACCAAAACCAATTTGAATGTGGAATTAAGACTTTAAATATATTTGATAATAACCAGTTTGCTAATAATGATGAACAGACACCATATAGTAGTTATCAAAATAATATTTCAGCACATGAATTTATTGAATCAATCGGCTATGTTGTAGAACAAGAGACTTTTCAAGAACTATATACCTCGGATAGTTAGAGTATAATAATCAATGAAAGTAATACTGTATCTTCTAAAAAAAACTTTGATAATTGTTTCTAAATACACAATTGTAGCAGCAAAACTAATTTATCGATTTCTTGAATTAGTTTTATTGGAAGATAATACTGCAAATTCAATAGTTGCCAAAATCCATTGATTTTTTCAAGCAAAAAATATTTTTTATAATGATTTGATATATATTTGCACAGATGGGGCTAGTATAATAACAGATAATATATTTAAATTATTATATATTTATATAAATATATATATATATTAAAAAGTTAATATATTTATAATTATTATTATAGATATTTATATTGGTATAACAACTCAACTCAAAAATTAAAATCTGTTTATTCTGAGACATTACTGCATTTCTTATAAATTAGCATTAGCTACAAAAGATGTAGCAAAACAAATCAAAGAATTTAAATAATATAAAAAAATTATATATAATATCTATCTCTTAAACTGTCTAGCAGGCAAATTTGCTTGCTTAATTATTTTTAAAAAGTTTTTTTAAGTTTTCTTAAAATTTATTTAAGCTTAACCCCTATTTATTGAATAAAATTAAAGATATTCTTTTTATATATAATATATTTAAATTTTATCATTCTATCTTTAATTT